AGTATAAAAAAATCAATAAATCTTAAATGAATTAAAAATAGTATTAAAAAAATCTACAAATAATGTGAAAAATAAAAATTATTTACATTAGATTTAGATGCAAATCTGTTAAGCTAGGGCATTTTGAAAAAACAGAACCTAAACTTAAAGCAGCTTCATCATCATCGAATGGTTTTAAACTGTTTATAAATATAATTTGATCTAGATCCTCAATTTAAAATAAAAAATGATTTTATCAAAATTATCAAATTAAAAATTAACTTTAATATGAAAAAAAAAAAAGATCTTAAAAAAATTAAACAAAAAAATAATTTTGTTTAATTAAGAATTTTATATTTAAAAAGCTAAATTTATTACATAAAATAGAGATACAGAGCTGAAAGATTAACACATTTTGCTAAAGCTTAGCCTAATTTTTATCCAAACTAATAATCTATTTAATTTTCGCTATTTTATATTTAATTTTAGTTTTTTAAATAAATGCAAATAAATGAAAATATTAATAGTAAAATTTGTATGAGAGCATAAATAAATTGAATTACTTACTTTTCATTCATATAAATTTGTAAACTAGTGTAAGATGAAAGAGAAGAGTTCAAAAACTATTTTTATGATGACATAACATAAATTATAATTACTTAATATAAGAAACAAATCATCTGATTACATCTTGAAATTCTATAGACTTATAATTCTATTATTTCATCTTTTTTATTCAAGTATTATGCTAACTATCAATTGATCTGAAACTTATTAATTAACAAATTAATTATTTATTTTCATATGATATAAATTTGATTTTCTGATTACAACTAATATATAGAAAAAAAGATTAATAAACATTAAGTTAATTAATTTTTATTAAACAAATTACTATTTTCAAATTTTTGTAAATTTTAAATTTGGATATAGTTTTCCTAAACATTTTTTGATGTTTCAAAATTTTTGAAAACCACTATATAATTAAACATACAATATTCAATTATTCAAACATTTAATATTTTTTTTTGATTCTTATTTATCATCAGAATTATATATAAAAGACAACTAATCTTTTTGATTTAAGACACCTGCTTATTACTTTGAATTCTTATGATTTATTGATTAAGTTAGAACTATAATAATAAATTTGTGTAAATTTTAAATAAATATTAAGTAAAATAAACTTTTAAATTATAAATTATTTTTTAAATTAATAAATAATAAAATAAAATTAGTGGAATAAAAAAGATAATAAAAAAACAAACCAAATAAAAGTTATCAAATAAATAAAAAGAACTTTTTTGTTTAATATTCATTATTATATTTAAAAATATCACAATCCAAAGCAAATATATTGTTTTTACTAAAGGGAAAGTGTAAAATTTGAAAGATTAATGCAATTTGCTAGACCAGAACCTAAGCCTAATACACCTTTGTCACCAATTTTATTGGAACTTGTTAAAAATTGAAGAAAAGATATGAAATAATAAGGTTAATTAATAATAAAAGCAAAAGTTCAAAATAAAATGATGAGCTAAATTTATAAAGAAAGAAGAAAAAAAATCAAGCACAATAAAAAGAAAAAGAAAAAAGAGTTTTATTGTCTTAAGTTAGTTTTTAAAATTAAAAATATCACAATCAATAATAAATAATCTATTTTTACTCAAAGTAAAGTGTCAAATTTTAGAGATTAATGCAATTTACTAGACCAGAACCTAACCCTAATACACCTTGGTCACCAATTTTATTGGAACTATTTAAATATTGAAGAAAAAATATATAATTTATTAGTTAATTAGAAAGAAAAAATATGAAATAATAAGGTTAATTAATAAAAGGAAAAGTTGAAAATAAAATGGTGAGTTAAATTAAGAAGAAAGAAGCAAACACAATAAAAAGAAGAAAAAAAAGAAAAAAGAGCTTTATTACTTTAAGTTAGTTTTTACAAATAAAAACAATACAATCTAAAATAAATAAACTGTTTTTACCTAATGTCAAGTGTCAAATTTGAGAGATTAATACAATTTGCTAAACCATAACCTAAGCCTGATGCACCTTTGTCACAAATTTTATTGTAACTTTTTAAATATTGAAGAAAAAATATATAATTAATAAGTTATTTTAGAAGGAAAAAACTAAGAATAAATTTGAAATAATTAGGTTCATTTATAATAAAAGCAAAAGTTGAAAATAAAATGATGAGTTAAATTAACAAAGAAAGAAGAAAAAAAGGAAAGTACAATAAAAATAAAAAAAAGAGCTTTATTGTTTTAAGTTAGTTTTTACAAATAAAAATATCATTATCCAAAATATATTAAAAGTCAAAATAAATATCTAGCTTTATATATGTATAAAATATTAATCAAATATATTTTATTCTTAAGTTCCTTCTAATAATTTGGGGAATATTCTTTTTCTTCAATTTCATAATATTGAAAATATATTTCAATAAAATAGCTCATATTTACTTTATATATATATGTAGCTCATTTATTTTTTGAAGTTAAGTATAAATAAACTGTTTTTACCTAAGGTCAAGTGTCAAATTTGAGATATTAATGCAATTTGCTAAAGCAGAACCTAAGCTTGATGCGATGTTATCACTAATTTAATAGTAACTTTTTAAATATTAAAAAAAAATAAAATAATTAATTAATTAATTAATTGAATGGAAAAAATGAAATATGAAATAATAAGATTTATTCATAATTATTTAAATTAACTAAGAAAGAAAGAAATAAAAAAGCAAGCACAGTTAATAGAAAAAGAAAAATAAATAAGATAAATTAAAAGAGCTTTAATGTTTTAATTTAATTTTTATAATTAAAAATATCACAATCCAGATTAAATAAACTGTTTTCTAAGTATTAATAGTAAAAAATGAAGAAAAAATATCAAATAATAAAAAATAAATCATAAATAATAAAAAATTTAAATTAAAATTAAGTTAAAATAGCTAAAAAATATTTGTATAAATCCAAATCAATGAATGAATTATGATAAGAATTTTTATTCTAAAAATTGTTATTTTAAATAAATTGAAAGTTAAAAATAAAAAAATTTTTATTTTAAACTTCATATACCTCAAATTAATATGGAGAACCTAATGAGATTAAAGTGAAGAGTTTAAAAACTTTTTTTATTAATAAAATAAATTTAAAGGATATTTTAAAAAAATAAATAATTACTTCTTCTAATTTGTTGTATAGTTTAATCTATTATTTCATTTATTTTTTTCAAAAATAATGAATAGCAATTTATGGAATTTAATTAATTAATAATAAATGGATAAAAAGAACAAATAAAATTTAATAATTAATTATGGAATATAAATTTATAAATTTGCTTTTATGAAGAGATATCACAAAAAATTAATTTAACATTCATTATTTAATATTAAAATTTGTATTTAAAACATAAACTTAAAAATATAGTAGAATTATAATATGCTGTGAAAAATAAATAATCAATCAATTATCTTTTTATGAAATATTATTTTTCAATTATATATCATTTTAATTTATAGAGAAAATATTAGCTGCTTCTTCATTTTACTTATTTCTATTAGAAGGAATACTTTAATATCCTATTATGCAATTTACTATTCTTTGATTTACTGATTGCTAATCGCTACTATAATTTTATTAGTTATCTGTTAAGAACCTTTATAAGCATTCCTATCGATAAAGTCTGTCGGTATCAACTTAGTTCATTAATTCTAAATGATTTAATTTCTTTTGATTAGATATTTGTAATATAGAATGATCAGGTTAAGGTTTGTTTAAAGGCTCTTGAATATCAGAAATATCAAGATAAAGTTCTTTATCATTTATATCTTTCTCTTAATTATCGTTTTAGTCATCTTTTTATTCTTATTCTTATCTTAGTTACATTGAAATTAATTATTCTTCATTAATCAAATCACAACCACACATTTGAATGGCTGAGTATTATTCTGGTGTCAATAGTAATTTGATGGCAGTTCTCAATTTCAAAAATTCTTTCTACATTTCAAATACGCACATATCTTTATTAGTTTATTTTATCAAGATATCAAGCAATTTTTAATTTGTTGTGGATTTTTTCCTTCTTTTTTAGCAAAAACTTGGTAGGAAAAATACCTTCCATCTATTTATAATTAATTTTATTAATAAACATTTTAAAGATTAAGAATTAAGTAAATTAAATGTTGGCTGAGAAATTTATATTTAGGTAAAAATATTTATGATAAATTTTTTGAATTTAAAAAAAATATAAAATATTTTAAATTACTTTTGAAAATTGGAGATTTTAAAATAATTCCTTAAGTTTTTTTTAAAGCTGACATTTTAAATAACTTCGTTTTGCTTTAAAACTACCTCAGCAGATTATTTCGACTCTATAACGCTGTTATTTAATTTTTCATTGTCAGATTGACCAAATAATCTAATGGCTGTTTTTTTGTAGTAATATTTAAGTTGAATTCCCAAAAAATCTTAAGCTAAGGTAGCTTATGCAATAGATTTAAAAACATAGCCTGTAAGCAAAAGCATAGAAGCTATTCCCCACACATATGCGAATACTTCTGATAGTAATGGATATTAAACTTAAGTTTAAGTCACTACATTATTTAAAGTAATTAAAATGTCATTATAAACTTCATCAGCACCAGGGTTTATACTACTTTATGCTACTATCTGATTAAAATCAATTATTTGTTGATAATTCTATGTAGATTAGAAGAGTAATCCTCTTTAAACGTCTATATTTTACATCTTGGCATTAATTTGAATAAGAGGTAAAAAGTTTTTACTAATAGTTGAGTAAGTTAAAAATATTCTTGGTTTTAACTCATTATTTTTAATAGAAAAATTACTACCTTTAAAGTATAAAATTAAAGGTAAATCTTATTACAAAAGCTCGTCTACCTCTTATTGAGAAGCACATCTATAGCTTGAATCTCTTAAAAAATTGCCAGAGCATTTTTTAACTGTAATTTAAATGTTATTTCCATATAAGGGCATAGGATCACTTTTAAGAGATAAAAGTATGTCTCCTGATTCTCCAAATCTTAAGCATCCATCATAAGTGAAAGAATTTATTTAGCGATCTCTATTTTACAGAAAGATATCAAAGTATTATACCTTATTTTATTACTCAATGTCTAATAAATTAGTTTCTTAATCTTAGTATATTGAAATAAATATATCTTAAGCATTAATTTCATAATCAACTCCTTCATCTTAAACTTCATCAAATTAAGTAAATTTAGGAGCTATTTTTCCTTAGTAAAAGTAAATCATAAGATACAAAAAGTAACCTAGAGAAACTGAAACATATAGAATTGAAAATATTCCTCCAATTACTGTTTTCTTTTTGTAATGATCTTGACTTATTTTTTAATAATAAGGAGGCGCAAATATATCAAAATATCTTATAAAACTATAGTTTTTATCTTTGCTCATTTATTAATCTTACTTATTAGTCTCAGGTTTTTCAAAATGTTATTTATAAAATATAATATTAAATTTTGGATTTTTGATACTTAAAGACGAAAATTTCAATCAAATTTGCCTTATTTAATTAATTTTGATAAGACATTAAGTTTTTTCTATTCAGAAAAGCTTAATCCATCAAAAATTTTCTGCTATTAGTAAAATTCTTTGGAGGTAAATAAATTATATACTTAAAATCTGAATAAGTTTAGCCATATTTCCTTGTATTATAAAATATATACACTTGATATGCATACAAACTCAATTAGTTAAATATGCTAGCTTATAATTCTTATCTAATAAATATATTTTCAAGGGGAGGGTTTGAAATTATTTGTTTTCAATAATTACATTTATAGTTCGAATTAATGTCTTTTTAGATAAAGAGTAACCTAAGTAAAATGTAAAAGAAATAAATATGTAAAATGAAAAAGAAATAAATATGTAAATTAAAACTTTTATTGTTTTTAGCGAAATTATAATGAAGCATTAAAATAGCTGTAACTTAAGATATATATTTAGGATAATAATTAGATTTAGCTATTAAAAAAATGTTTCATTAAAAGATGCAATAAATTAATTGATTGATTTAACTACTTTAGTAATAAAATAAAAATACAAATTTAATTAATTAAATAATTAATTTTTTAAAATTAATTTGCAAATTAAAAATTATTTTTAGAATTATTAAATAGTAAAATTCACTTAATAAAATTTATGCAAAAATTATATAAATAAACAACATTTTATAGCATTTGCTTAAATAAAATAAAAATAACTGAATATTCAGTGAGCTAGCTTGATAATGAAAGAGATTTCAATTCAAAGAACAAATAAAATGAATGAATGCTATAAATAAGTAAGCATGTATAATAAAATTAAAAAATAAAACTTAGAAAAATTGATATTTTTACAAAATTATAAAAGTAGTTTATTTACTATTTTAATAGGTGTTAATAATAATAATTTGTTTTTAGTGTTTAAATCATTTATTTTATTTTTTTCAACTTTTTTCTTCTTCAACTTCACTTTTAATGTGATTTTTGGAAGATTTTAATGTTCTTTATAATTATTCGTATGATTTTCTATCTTTTTGAGAGAGACTTGGAAATACTTTATTCATTGCATGATTGAAATCGCCCATACAAACAGTCTTCTTTCCAGTTAAAATAGCGTTTAAGGCGCTTTCTTTAACAAGACTGCCTAAATCTGCACCAGAAAATCCATCTGTTCTTTTATCGTGAGCAATTTGCTTTAAATTTACATCTTATTCAAGAGGAGTCTTTCTTATTAAGGCTTCTAAAATGCTAACTTTTTCATCGTTTGTAGGTAAAGGAACGTAAAGTAGTTTGTCTAATCTACCACCTCTTAAAATTGCTGGGTCGATGATATCAGGTCTGTTAGTAGCAGCAATAACATATACTTACTTTCTTCCTTCAAAGCCATCAAGTTCAGCTAATAAAGAGTTTACGACTCTTTCAGTAACTTGATTTGTGCTGTCTCCTCCTCTCTTAGGTACGAGAGCATCTAATTCGTCAAAGAATATAATGCAAGGAGCGGAAGCTTTGGCTCTACTGAATACCTGACGAACAGATTTTTCTGACTCACCAACATACTTGTTAAGGAGTTCAGGTCCTTTTACAGAAATGAAATTGGCTTTTGAAGCATTAGCAACAGCCTTAGCTAAAAGAGTTTTGCCACAACCAGGTGGACCATATAATAAAACACCTGCAGGAGAGGCAATGTTGAATGCCTCAAATCTACCAGGTTCCAAGATAGGTAAAATGATATTATTTGTAAGCTCTTTTTTCATTTCATCTAGAGCACCAATATCATCCCAAGTAACTTAAGGAATAGTTGCAAATCCTTCTCTTTTGCCTGTTGGTTGAATTTCCTTCAATGATTTGCTTAAGTCTTCTTCTTAAATTTCACACTTTACTTTGTATTTAATCATATCTTCTTCATTAACTTTATAAGTAACTTGTAATTATTTTTTTAATTAATTTTCTTAATTTGAGTTATTCTTTCCATTTTATTAGTTTTTATTCATTTCTTCATCATCGCTTTCAATATCTTCATCTGATTCTCCAATGTCTTCACAATCGCTGCTATCGCTTTCTAATTCTTGTTCCATTTTCTCTGCTTTGGATTCTATTTCTTTATCATTTTATTTGTTATTGCTTTGTGCTTAGTCATTCTATAATTCACTTTGAATTTCTAATTATTATTATGATGATGATTATTATTATTATTAGATTTGTTCAACTGTCATAGGAATTTATATTGACTCATCCTCAGATTTCAATTTTTAAACTAAATTTGCTATACGTTAAACTGCATAAACACCAGCTTTTTTGATAAGGGCATTTAGATCTGCAGGAACATAACCAGGAGTGTCCTTAGCTAAACTATCTATGCTTATTGAAGAAGCAATAGGAATCTCTTTTAAAATTGTTTGTAAAATTTCAATTCTAGATTTCTCATCTGGAACGGGAAGACTAATTTCGCTATCAAATCTACCACTTCTTCTAATAGCCATTTCAAGTGTTTCAGGACGAGAAGTTGTGGCGATAACAAAAACATCATTTGGTAGTTTATCAAGACAACTAAGCAGCTCTGAAACAATACGACGTTCCATTTCCTTAGAAGCTTTATCTCTGCTTCCAGCAATAGCGTCAATTTCGTCAATAACTATAACAGAAGGCGAGTTCTCTTTTGCCTCACGGAAGAGATTTCTAATATTTTTCTCTGATTCTCCACTAACTCCTCCAATAATAGCAGTACTCTAGCGGAAAAAGAAAGGATGGTTATGATTCTCCTTTAGATCCTTGCAAATAGCAAGAGCTAATGCTGTTTTACCGCATCCAGGTGGTCCTGTTAAAAGAATACCCTTAGGAGGTTATATATTCAAATTTTCAAAGATTTTTGTATTCTCTAAAGGCAAATATATTTATTATTTAACTGAATTGATAATATTCGATATTCCACCAAGTTAGTCTAAAGAAGGAACCTATTTATAAAATATTAATTAGTATATAAGTAAGTAGTATTTTAAAACAACTCCATAAAAATGTAGACAATTTTTATCATAGCAAGTATTTGTTAAAAAGCATTCAAATATATATATGATAGAAGTAATTAAAATATATTTAAGTAAATAAAGAAAAAGAAACATTTGGATATTATTTTATAAGAAACACTGCTTGGTCAGAATAAATATTTTTTATTAAAAATTGTTTATATTGGCGATATTTATCATTTTTAAGATTTTATTTTAGTTTGTTAGTTTATTATCTAAAAATAATAAAATTTATGTTTTATTATCTTGAGTATTTCACTCATTTCTGCAGCTTTTAAATCATGCTTAAACCAACAAAATAAATAAATCAATGAGTAACTTCATATAATTGTATTTAAAAAATTACAATCAACTGCAATAAAATGCAAAATAAAATAAATATTTATTGATCTAATTTTGAGTTTAAAAGTCTTTATTATCTTAAAGTAAAAAACGCATATGTACTCTATTTTTATCTTAAGCTATCATATTTATTTATTTAAATATAAGCTAAAGTTTCCTAATACAGCTTTGAATTCATTTATAAAAGATTTTAATGCCAAAAATTGTTTTAAATTTTTAAAATTTGTAAGCTTTTGAATTAAAATTACCTTTGATAAATCGATTTCTTCAAATTTTTCATTATTTTCATCGTCATCTTCTTCTTTCTACTTGTTTTTTTTCAAGCGCTTACGAATTTCTGGCTCTAAAAT